GTGGGGATTCCTGTTGTGGGATGTCTTTTTGTGCCAAGAAAACTAAAAATGCCTGGTTTAGTGTTCCCAGGCAGCTCAGGGGTACAATTCCTGAGAAGAGGCATTCCTAGTAAAATGGTCAGAGCCGCTAATGTATGCTTTGCCACCCATTCCCTTCTTTCCTCAAGCCTGAGGAAAATCGAGCAGGAAAAAAGCATTGGCCAATCCTAGTGGCTGAGACAGTTTTGGTTGGCGTCCTGTCCAGCTCTGAACCTGCTGACTTCGGAGAAAGGCAAGACCACTCATCCAAATCCAGCATCGCTCAGTCTAAGCCTGGTATTTGGATGGATGATGAGCTTAGAGAGGTCAAGTTCAGAGGCAGAACAAGCCATTCTCAATAATAGCAGGAAAGTCTCTATGATGAAATGGAAGAAATTTTCTATCTGTCTGCATCCTCAGATACGTCCAAAGGGCTCAGAGATCCCTACCATTCTGGACTATTTCCTTTATGTTAAAAATGTCTGATTTATCGCTCAGCTCACTGAAAGTGCATTTGGCAATGATTAAGGCCTTCCATTCTGTAGTGAAAAACTGTTTTGGTCTTTATCCACTATGAGGTTTTCAAAAGGCCTTGATATAGAACCTTTCCTCCCAGTACTGAAACCTATACCAATTTGAGTCTTCAGTCTCTCATTGTCAGCACTCATTAATCCTCCTTTTGAACCTGTAGTTTCCTGCTCCCTTCATCTGTCTTTGAAGGTGGCCTTTCTGACCACAGTCACCTCCGTCAGAAGAATAGGTGACTTTGGATTCCTTATGGCAGACTCTCCCTACACGGTCTTCCAGAAGTATAAGATTTCTTTGATATTACACCCCAAGTTCATTCCAAAAGTTTCCTCCAAATTCCACTTTAAATTAGGTCATGTATCTACCTGTTTTCTACCCAAAACCTCACACCACCAGAAAAGACAGGAAGCTCCATTCTTTGGATGTCTGTTGAGCCTTGGCTTTCTATCTGCAAGACAAAACCCTTCAGGAAATCTCTGACACTGTTTCCTTTACTGAATGGATGAAAGGGGAAGTAATTTCCTCACAGACACTTTACAAATGGATTTCAGGTTGCATCCTGCTTTGCTATGAGCTAATGGTGACCCCTCCCCCACAAAATGAGAGAGCCCACTTGACCAGAACCCAGGCTCTCTTAGTAGCTTTTCTTCAGGATGTCTCCTTTCTGTAGAGCAGCAACATGTGATTGTGTGTGTATCTTTTTGCTAGACATTATGCCCTGGTACAAGCTTTTTCAGCAGATGCGTCCTGCAATCTGTAGTACATCGGGGTCCTCTCACCCTCCTCCTCAATGAGTAGTGCTTTTGAGTCCCCTCATGCGACATATTCATAGGGACCATCACTCGATGAAGAAATTCATGTTACTTACCTTACAGTAACTGGAGTTATTTAAGATGTGTGTGGTCCCTATATGTATTCCACTACCTGTCCTCCTTCCCCTCTACTTCGGATCCTTTCCTAAAGCGATTTGTGGCGGTGTAGGAGCTGGAGAGGCGGCCTGTCCACGCTGACCCCTTATGCCCTCTGTTCAGAGTGCGCAGACACAGATCAATGGATACTACTAATGAAAAATCTTCTGGTCTCAGGCACATCAAATGCATGTGCACCTCAAGTGAACTACACATAGGGACCACACATCTCAAAGAACTCAAGTTATTGTAAGGTAAAGTATCAGAGGGGTAGCCGTGTTCATCTGGATCTGTAAAAGGGGGGGAGGGATAGCTCAGTGGTTTGAGCATTGGCCTGCTAAACCCAGGGTTGTGAGTTCAATCCTTGAGGGGGCCACTTAGGGATCTGGGGCAAAAATCAGTACTTGGTCCTGCTAGTGAAGGCAGGGGGCTGGACTCGACCTTTCAAGGTCCCTTCCAGTTCTAGGAGATAGGATATCTCCACTAATTTAAAAAGTGACAGAGTCCTGTGACACCTTATAGACTAACAGACGTATTGGAGCATAAGCTTTCATGGGTGAATACCGAAGTGGGTATTCACCCACGAAAGCTTATGCTCCAATACGTCTGTTAGTCTATAAGGTGCCACAGGACCTTTTGTAAGGTAAAGTAACCAGAATGTGTCTCATGCATAACAATGAACTATTTCACTTCATGGACAAATTTGACTTCTTATAGTTTCAGAATCTAGTTGGCCGTGTGAGGGCAGAGTTCAAATTGAGTGAGAAATGCCTTGCTAAAATGATTTAATTGATGTAATGAGAGGAGAGTCCCTCCTACCCTTCTGTTATATAATTATTATATATTAACTGAGTATCCAAAATTGTGCTAGGTGCCATATGGAGTAATTTTTTTTAAAAAAGTCTCTCCCATAATCTAAGCAGAAACATGGTGGGATGTGGCAAGGCAAAACGGAAGAGATAGGGAAAATGAGGGCTGGCAAAGGGTACAAGTGACTTGATTTTTAAAGAGTGTTTTTTGCCTGTTGCTGCCAGTGACTCTATTGGGAGATGCCGGGTGGTCAGCATTTTTGAAAATCATGCCACAAGTGTGACCCTGCCAGCAGGTAGGGGATCTTGGGGGACAACTACTGCACTGGTGGGGTGCAAAATAAACTTTATTAAGAAAATGTAAAAACAGGGAAAATTCAATAGTGAGGGGTATGGGATTTGTTAAGGTAGACAATTGGGGAGGGGTTTCTTTTAGTAAATAGGATAGGGGGTTTCAATAGTGGGGTACAATACAGTTGGTAACCAATTAACACTGAAATATAAATGTAACAGGTAGCTAACAGTTTTTATGTAAAGGGTGTGTCACAGCAGCATATAACCAACTAACAGTTATGGGTAAAATGTGTTAAATAACCAACAACTCTAGGTAAAAATATGTCAGTGGTGTAAATGTAAAATGTGAGGTGTGTTAGAAAGGAAAAGGGTAACCAATGGGGGTTTATGCTAGACTTTAGTAATACAATTGAGGTTTGGCAGCAGTAGGAGCGGGGTGAGTACGTGGGGTAAGGGATTAAAAGAGAGAGAGAGAGAGAGAGAGAAAGGCAGTGGTAGAGGAATGAGGTTGGGGGATGGGGGAAGAGGAGCATGTGGTGGAGCGGAGACCAAAGGCAGAGGCGCTGCGGAGGGAGATTTCAACTCAGGGAGACACAGAGAGCAGACAGGCTGCAAGTTTAAACAGCAGAGAGACTGCAACGAGTGACTGGGGAGCTCGGGGGGAGACACGGGCAAGCTCGGGGTGGGACAGACTTAACCACAATTATACAGAACACAGCAAAATCTTATCTATGATCCAACTTAACCAAGACTACACAAATTAGCAAGTAACAGAACACAATGCAACAATTCTTTAAACCTAACTTAATCACAGCTATGCAAAATGAAATTACAACTTATCTGGACTAAGAACCTGATTCTAATAGGTGCACCTTACACTCCCTGCCACTTCTTTGATCGGGAGGGGGAGCAGTTCCAGAGGGCAGAGTGGTGTGTGCCCAGGGTACAACCCGGGGGGAGGGAGGGGGAGGCTAGTGTTGGCCGCAGCAGTGGGGTGGCTGCAAGCCGGCAGCCCAGGATACAGTCCAGGAAGGCACAGCCTAGCAGCAGCACAGGCTTATTTCTAGCAGCAAAGGCGCTGCGGAGCCAGAAACAGATTACAGATACAGACCCAAGGAGTTATCTTGAGTCTGTCTGCTGGGGAAACAAGGCCAGCAGCTAGGACAGGGGGAGTTTGCTAGAGGGAGTTCTTACCATTCCCCAGGACAGGAACGGCAGTAGCATCGGAGGATGGAGAGAGGACTCGATTCGCTTACAATAATCAGGAGATCTCCAGGCACAAATTCGTTGTTCGTGGGAGGGGAGTTTAAAAATGGGGGTACGCTCAAAAACAAACGAGAGCGGGGAGAGGGCCCCCCAAAGACCTCTAGCTGATCAGACCAGGTGGCAAAGCAAGGACCTTCTCAGAGGTCTGATCAGAAAATGTCCGGCTTTAAAGGCAAACTCAGGCAGTTTCCCACCAGTAGTTTTGATTGGCTCCTCTTGATACACGGGAGGAGAGAAGGCAGGGAAAGGCTGCAGGTAAGCATAGGCATGCCTGGGCATGTTCTGAGCCACAGGTATGACTCATGCTTCATTAGTTGGCCACTTCAGGTCTTGCATTTCTGGGCAGCGCCCCCCACACCGAGCCCGGGTCTGAACAAAGGAACCAAACAAAGAAGCAAGAAGCCCCCTCCCTAGGCAGAGCAATGGCTCCAGTTAGTCTGTACAAGCCATTCCTATGAATAGGGCTGTGACTTTAGTTAGCACAATGGCCGGGAGGGGCGGCCACACAGGACAAACAGAAAGGAGAGGGGAAAAAAGGAATGCAGCAGGGGGACAGCTGTAACAGACAAAGTGTGGTGTGGTCACTCCCTGTTGTCTAACAGCAAAATACCAGCATTGTCAACTAAAAACTGTCCCTGGTCAACGGTAACAAAGCTTTTTACAGACTGTGTGTTCCAAATGACCATGATACGGGTTGGAGATTTGGACTCGGATCTTAAGGAGCTGTTGAGAGTTGTGATTCCTTTTGCATCAGTTGAGAATGTCATTTGTGGGAAAATAACATTTGTTTCTCTATTAGGCTCTTCGTGTTGCTCTTTTTTTCAGTACACAACACTTAAAATATCAGCTTTTTGTTCACTTCATTCTACCTTCTCTCCTTCCTCCCAAAAAGGTAATAATGCTAAAAGAAAAGCACTTTGACAATCTTATTGAATGTAAAATAAGTAAAGTAAAAATAAACTAGTAATACTGCAAGAATTAACTTACTAACAAGGCATTAACAAGGGGAAGTTGTATACCTCAGTCTGCAAAGAACCCTTTTTCAAGAATTTATTTGTGGAGAGCCATATGACACCTATACCGCTATATCTGTTCTTTGTGCTATAGTATTATATCCTCTTATTTTTTTCTGGAAAACTTTCAGGTTATATAATTTTTTTTTTCCTACTCTTTTCAGAGTAATTCTACAGTCCAGTGTTCAGAAAAGTAAAACGTCTGAACCTAACATTTCTGGCAGTGCAGACATTAATAAAAGAACTACCAGGTCTGCTGCAAGAAAAAGCAGTTTAAAAAGGTGAGAGTTACTCTTTTGAGCTGGCATGTCCATTGCTGGTGATGGACTTTGTCTGAGGGAATATTAGCCTCCTAGTGACAAGGAATTACATTTTAAAATATTTTATTTATCATGTAATGAGACTGTCTGGAGCTTTGAATCTCTTGTGTCATACATTTCTGAGTGAATTTTGGAAACTGGGAGACTTGTGTTGTGGTTATTATGTATGATTTAAGGATTACTGAATTTAGGAGTTTGCTGACTTAATAGTTCCCATCACAATTTCTACAGGTATTGTGAAGAAACCTCTCCAGAAACAAATTTAAAAAAAATTGGTGAGAAATTGTATATGACAATGTGGTGGAGGGAAGGGTGCAGTGGGGAGTTGAGAAACAGTACAAGTGCAACAAATTAGAAATTCAGATGGCAAAGAACTAACTTCTGTCAAATGTTCATAAATATCTCCTCTGTAACACCCTTCTCTACTACTGTAAGATCAAATTTATTGTCATCCTTTTTTCTATTGGTCTAACCATCCAATAAGAAAATAAACATTAAAAGTTCCACTCTTTCCAGAAAGTCAAAGAACATGAATGATTGAAGCCAACCATTCAGCATAGAAAAGATCTATTTCCTTGTCTTGTGTGGAAAAGAGGGTATCTTTAATATTGAGGGAAAACACTAGACAATGTTTCACAGTTCTCTTTGGGGGGAGGGACTCCTCCTTTGTCTTGGCAAGGATTAATATGGAAAGAGAAAGCAATATAAAAACTAAGAGGAATTAGACTGACCACTAATGAGATATGAGAAAATAAATCATAGAAGCACACTGGCTTTGTATCACAGAGGTGTAGAAAATGCATTTTGTGTGTGTGTGTGTGTGTGTGTGTGTGTGTGTGTGTGTGATAGATACACCTCTACCCTGATATAACGCTGTCCTCGGGAGCCAAAAAATCTTCCCGCGTTATAAGTGAAACCGCATTGTATCAAACGTGCTTTGATCCACCAGAGTGCGCAGCCCCGCCCCCCTGGAGCGCTGCTTTACCGCGTTATATCCACTTGTTCTATCGGGTCGCGTTATATCAGGGTAGAGGTGTATAGTGTACTGGTAATGAGATTTTTATAATGGGAAAAGGATTCAGAATTTAAAGTAGGTAGTCTGCTCTACAAGCACCTGGAGAATTTAAAAATGTGGATGGTTTAGAACAAGAGTGTGAGTGCCTTCTTGTGTGTAATCACATGGGTACAAAGTATATTTACTTCTGACAGCTACCACACGAGTTCTTGTATCCATCCATGTGCAAAGTCAGTACGCAGACCTAGACCGTCTCAAGTTGTGCTGGAAATGAGCATGAGGTTCTAGCTCAGATCTGTAGGTTACACAACCATTAATTAGGGGAATTTAAAGCCATCAGTATATTTTTTTCTAGTGCTGTCCTCTTTCACATTCACAGATATCAGTACACTGTGGAAGAGAGATACCAAATGTATATTTCTCTTTTTTGGGAGTGAAATTGACAAGAGGGCTTGCAACTTTCAGTTTGAAAACAAAAGATCTAAGCAAATTAAATCCAAATCACGTATAATCTGTGGCTTATATGTCATACAGCAGTTTCAAATAGTTTTTGATTCGTGAAAGTGACAATTTTTTGTCTTGTGCTTGTTGTGAATATCTTTTAATTAGTCTATCAATAAATGCTGAAGAGAAGAGCCTTATTTTGTTGGGAGGGAGTGAATCATTAGACTTACAACTAGGACTTATGAGTTGGTGTTTATATGCCATAAATACAAACTTAGTATGTGGTAGAGTTTCATAGAATTTCCTTTTCTCTTCTCTCCCTTCTGCCCTCATCCTTAAAGGGAAATGCAAACTATTTTAAAAATTAAACAAAATCAAGCCTTTAATGGTTGGTAAAAGATGGAAACGCCGTATCAAATAACCTGCAGGACACTTCTAATGTAACATTGAGAGAATTTTCAGGGTATTATATAGCATTTGATTCATATTAACAAATAGTTAAAAGCTAAAAACAACTTTTTTTTAAACTTACCTTAAATACCAGCTTTATGAAACACTATATTTTTTGCATAATTGTTTGGTTTGATTAGGTCTCCTTGACTGCAATGTTTTTATCCATACTGATTTCTGTCCATGCTGTCCTCTCTGGTTCTGGTTATTTCTTATATTCTTCATCCCTCTTCTGTTTTTGAGCCTCTTAGCTCTGTAGCTATTTGTCCATTCAGTGACATACTGTTTCAGTTCCTGGAAAGCATCCTTATGAGTAGATCCTCCCTCCTAGAGAATAGCAGGCATTCCACAGTTCCTTTCTTCTCATTTGTCACAATGAAAAAGACCTTCTGATAAATTATTATCTCCGAAGTGGCAGCACTTCTTCATATATCTTTTACAAACCTGGCATGATGCCTCCTGGCTCTGAGGAAAGACTTGTGCTCTTACAGAAGAGGGATTCCTCAGTTCATAAATGAGCACTAACTTTGTAGAGTCTTTGTAATTTGGCTTTCTGACACTGCTTCTGAAACTTCTGCCCCAGATTTTTCACTTTAAACTGTATCTGATCATGTTTCTAATACTTAACTTTGAGACCATACTGCTTCAATCAGTTGGTGACCAGATCCTGCCATTCAAGATATCTCAAAGCAAAATAGTGCCATCCAATAGGGTCACAATTCTGGAGTTCTTAGACATTTTTCCTTCAAAAAAAGGCTTCTTGGTTGTAGTTCATATACGCATCATGTGATTAAATTTATACCCTCTCGTGGACATTATAAAGAATGTCCTCCCTACAATATGGATGTGTTTTTATTTACCTGTAGCCTCTGGAGAAATCTTATATGGAGCCAGTCTATCACAGAATGAGATGGCTTTTGCAGCTCTCCATTTGGTAAAGGATATGCAGTCAATGGGTGACATCGTGGAGCTTCCATTAGTGTATTCAAAACAAAACAAAAACTGGCTTCCCATCCTTTTTGCCTGAAGTTTATTCAACTTTGTCTTAAAAAAAAAAAAAAAATATTGGGTCCCCCAAACTGACTGCATTATTCCAATTCAAGCCTAATAAATGCAGGATAGAGGAGAACAGTTCTGACTTCTATTAATACTGTAGTATTGCTGTTAATCTAACCCAGCATGTCTTTTGTGACATATTATTTTATCTATGTAAACTTTATCATCCAGTATAAACCCTTTGATTCTTTGGACATCACTGCCTAGCCAGTACTATTTTATTTGGTGTCTGTGTATTTTAATAGTCTTTCCTATATGACCACTGTTTCCATTTTTTTCATTGAATCTCATTTTATTTATAGGTATTGCACCGATTTCTTCAGATTTCAGTTTTGTTGTAGCTGAATCACAGTCTATGATCAAAAATTCATTCTTAGCATTATATCCTCAGATTTGAGTCCTTCCTCATTCTTCAAACTGTGAAGAAATTGTCAAGTAGTGGGTCCAGAATGACTCATCTCTCAGTAAAACTACAATATTTACTTCAAGTTTTCTGATGAGATTTATGAAGCCATCTCATGATTGTTTAATCAAGCCAATATGTACAATATTCGTGCCTTTTCCTTCAGGTGACACTATATATCTACCATAGTCAATGCCTGGTTGTCTAGAATGAGAGGGGGTATTAGTACATTAACATGGCAGTGTGGATGGGAGAATGTGATGGAACTGCAAGGGATTCATGTTGCAGCCTAGGGTCATGATCTGCTCTGTGACCTTAGGTTAACTGACTTGGTCAATTGGCACCTCACTTTCCCATCGCTAGGACATGGCTGCTGTAGATTGGTCCATAAGTGATAGGTCAGAGTTCACATTTTACAATGTGCATTTATCAGATCATTTTATGGTGAAATTTTATCCTCTTCTCTCTTCCTTCCAAAATACAGACACTCCTTAAATTCTTATTGTTAATCTATTTAATTGGACCATTTACAGTAGAGGCAACATTTAATAATTATTCCATCTTGAAACAAAAAACTAGAATAATCCTAATACTGAGCACTTAAACTGCTTTTCATCCATTGAACTCAAAGTGCTTTACAGAGGTGGACACAGCATGTGTTAGTATCCCCACTTTACAGACTGGGAAACGGAGGCATGGAGCAAGGCAGTGACTGAGCCAGGAAAAGGACCCCCGTCTCCCAACCCCCGCTACCTTGTAACCTATCCAGTAGGGGCTTGAGAAATTCCAACACCAGCAGCATGAAGTAAAGAAACTAACAGAACCCTCTTCCCTTCAAAATGGATAGAAATTAAGCTATTGTCCCACTCATTACACTGTTAGCGTTCCATGTATTTAACAAGTTCTTGAGCTCCTTTGTTGTTAGCAATTTAGAAGAGAGGAAATAGTGTATGTAGTGAGGATTTTGGGCGTTCAATGGAATTGGACTATAGGAATCATTATGCCAAGGAATAATTGTGACCTGTTGGCAGGAAAGGGGAAATATATGCAACAATTAATATATAGGTCTCTTAGCTTTTTTTCTCACCAGAGAAGCATGTCATAAAAATGAACAGAGTACACTTAACCCAATATGCTTTCACTATTGAAGGGAGCCATTAAGCAGCATTCTGCTCCCGTGTTGAGATGGAAATGGCATGCAGCACACCAGAGCTTTGTCTGTTTGTGATCTAATTCTAGTTTTAAAAAAATTAATATTTCTTTTCCATTCTTTTCTACTTTTCCCACAGTCTGATACCTCAGAAGGAGAAAAGGAAAAGGAATGCTTTACAGCAAATGCGCTTAATGAAATTATGGTACTTTGAATCATCTGCTTTTTCTTTACAAAGGCTTTTTTCCTACTCTTTGTAATCAGAATAGTAGTCTGTGCTTTCTTTACAATTGATAATTTATTCTCTATAAAAGTATCAAGTCTTTTTTTCTTTACAATTTTTTCTTTGAAGTATTATGCTTAACTTAGCTTACAGTGGCAGAAATGTTAGAAAGATTTTGCGCTTGCTTTGTTTTTTGAATTTCAAATCGGATGGTTTTTATTCCTCATAAATCTGTGTTTTATCATTTCAGTGGTCACTCCATACCAAGGACCAGGACAGTGCTGCGTTAAGTAAAAAGAAGTGACTGAAGAGGATGCTGAGGGGGGGAAAAATGGAATATTGCTATGGAACTTAAAGTCTTTCCTTTCAAAGAAATTAACTGCAAAATGCAGCTAAGATTTAGCAGTAAAACTCCTCCTAATTTGTAGAAGAAAACAACCTGTTAAGATGCTTGACAAACAGTTCAGCTTTCTAATTCTAAATGTTTTCTCAACTGTTAAAAAAACCTTGTAAATTTAGACTCAGGTGTAAATATCTAAACTCTCTATTATAAAGAGGGTTTACTAGTGGGTATGAGGCATGTGTGTAATTGTGATGGCAATCACTTAGCTGCTGGCCACCATAAGGAGTGAAGATGTGTGGGAGCTTTTAAATATTTAATTCACTGTTGTCCGTCCAAGCTGATCTCAGTCTCCAATACAGAGCAAATCTTGGGAAGGCAAGATTTTATTCTCATAACATTGTACTTTCCTGTTGATTTGGATAGCCTTCCTTATTTTGTATGTTTTTTTATGAAGCTGTAATGTTAAATACCCAAACTAATTACTGGACACCAAAGACTGCTTTATTTCAAAGGGTTTTTTTAAACAATTTAACTAAAAGCTGTTAACTGTTTTATTAGTAATAGCTTTTAGTTGCTCAAATTGCTTGAAAACATGGATTTTCCTACCAGAGTTTATAATTTGAAGCAGCACCATCAACTTAGATTACACGGCTAGTTGAAAACTTTTTACCTACTTGTGCTACAGGTAATACCTAAGGTTCTCAATCTTTCAGACATGGTAATGGTTCCTAAAGTTTATGCATCAGACCATGCTTTATGGTCATTGTCATAGTTTTCCTTGTTTAATCATTTTCTTCCACACTGAGGGGTGGGGGAAATAGGGGAACTTAAAAAAAAAAAAAGGAGTCGTGATTGTAAAACCACTGAAATTGGCAGTGGGAAGCAGGTGTAGTCAGTAATTTTTTAAAAATGGTTATTTCAAGGTGGCGGTGCTCCTTTAAACATCCAGGTACTTTTGATTATTAAAAAAAAAAAGCCCTAGATACCTAATTATCTGTTAAATGTCATTGTAATTTTTTTAAGGTGACCTAGGATTTGAAATTTTATTTATTTCCTTTTCAATACCTTCTTCTAAATCAGAAAAGTTTTTCCTCCGGATTTATCCTATTATATTTGAACAGCTTATTTTCCCCCCAGTATCTTTGTTTGCCAACATCACATTTGACATATGCACACCCCTCAGAATAGCTCTGCTACTGCATAGCCAACAGTAAAAAGAGGTTTGTTTTTATGAGTTCTATATAAATACATCTGGGGAGGAAGGTTGAAATGTTACTCAGCAGACTTTTTTGTCCTGAAGAAAGACCTACTGTCTTGCAGTGGGAGGGAATGTTCCTACTAAATTTAAACACCCAGGTCTAATTTAATCCCCTTATTAGAGCATTAAAAAATCGTCATGGTAATTGAAGGGTGTTCCCTAGATAGTGTAAGTAGCAATATGTTGGCTTGACTAGCTTTTGATGCTAAAGGCAGAAGAGTATTAGTCCAGGATATGGTTACTTGTTAAGTTAACAGAAGCACCTCCCAAGTTGTTCTGAAACTTTTAATTATGCAAACTTGAATGTAATGAAGATAGAAGAAAAGTTTCTTCCAGTATAGAATCCAAACCTTGAACAGGTATTTAATATCTTTTTTTAGAAGAAGAAACCCCTTTGATTCATCTGACTTTGCTCCTTTGCTTTGTACAGCTGAGAGACTCTTGTCTCCAGGGAAATGGTAATCTTTGTGTTTATATTGCCTTTCAGAACAATTGGGAGCGAGGGGCTGAGCCACATCATTTTGGGGACAAGAGCCTTGTTAACCTTGTGAGGTGTGGAAGCAATGCATCCCCTTCCTGTCAGTTCGTTCTTTGCTTCCACAGAGGGGAGGAGGGACAAAATGAGTCAATGGATTTTTTTAAAACAATTCCCTCTCTGCTAATACAGCCCCTTTGTTTTTTTTATTTGGGGTAGTGGAGCGCTCTTTACTCTGATCAAGAATTAGAGGCCCTATTGTGCTAGACTGGTGAGTCCAACTTCCACCAGTGACCTAGAAGAGAGAATGTGCAGTTAATGATGAATTGAAAATGTGCTCCCTGAACCATCCCTGTAAATTTTTTTTTTTTTTTTTAAACCAAAGTGTGTGTGTCACCCAGGCCCTGTGGGGGCTGCCTCCCCCATACCTCTCACTTCTGCAGCTGCAGTTCTTGGGTAAGCCTGGAATGCTCTGAGCAGTTGCCTGCCTGAACGTAGGGGAGCACCTAGTAAAGGGTGACTCCCCTCTGCCCCATCCTTTCCAGCAGCTGCCAGGGCAGCCCAAGAGAGTGGGGAGATAAAGACACAGAGACAACACTCAATTAAAACTCCATGATTCTCTACCCTTATCCTGGTCAGAGCCAGCCTAACAGTTGCTCTTAACTTGTGCCAGCTAACAGTCCCAATGGTACTGTCTGTCTGTTGCGGATAGCTGAAGCAGAACACATTCCACACTCTCACCCTTCCCTCCTCCCCCTCTTAGGCCACCTATGCCCTGCTATACTGGCTCCATGCACTCCAGGTGGGTAGAATCCCCAGCAGGGACATTGTGAGGGATTCCACTCCTTTTATTACCTGAGTGATGCAAGGCAAGAGATTTTGCCTCAAGTGTAACAACTGGAGCTCCTTGATCTTTTTCAAAAATAAAATGTTTGCCTCTAAAGCTGAAAGGATTGGACACCACGGTGCTAGGTGCTGTACAGGTAAAAATGTCCTAACTCTGGGGAGGTCACAGTTCTGTTTTTTTACAAGCCTAAACAGCTGAATGAGGGGAAGGTAGTGTGGCTGGGAGGATTAGATTAAAAAAAAACACACAATAAGGCTTTTGGACAGTATGTAGTAGTTTTAACTTCCCAACTGCCTACCCAGTTCTTTGCTTTCTAGGTATTTTCATATTTTGTGTACATGTTTGTGTTTTACCTCAGCACTAGAGTGAAACCGAGGAGTTGTCTGTTGTTGGCAAATAGTGAACTGATTTGTTCAGTTAAAGTCTGCCCAAAAATAATGTAATAGGTATAATTTGCTTATACATATGCACAGGTTGAGTTGTTTGTACTGTCCGTTGAACCTGAAAAGAATCAGACTAGGGTTTGTTTGTTTTTAAGAATCACTCCAACATATGAAGTTTTAGCAAACTTTGAAATTACATTTTTAAAAACCAGATGAACTCTCGGACTTTCAATTTTGTATCATTGTTTTAAACATCAAATACTGATTTTAACTGAAAAACAAAGCCCGTCACAAATGTCTATTACATATAGTGAAAGTCTCTAAACAAAGTTTCACAGTTTTGTTAGGTATGAAGATTGTGGGCTACCATTTTTCACTTCTGTACATCTGACGGTTGCGGAGAAACGCACAAATGCTACTGCCATTCTGTATTTGAATATTCAAATCAGTATTACTATTTAGTGACCAACATTACCTCCTCATAGCCTATGTCATTTTAACATTTAGCTCGTATTTTCAATCTGACATTTGCCTTGCATTTGCACCATATGTACCAAAGTTGTCTACACGCAATTCTGAAAGCGAGGGGAGAAAGTGCTTCTTTTCTAAAGACTTGTGAAAGTGTGCCAAATGGAATGTACCTGTAAAACAGGCAGCTGGAGACCTAGAACTTGTGTGTGCTGAGAAGCTAGTTATCCCTGCTGTGATGGATGTATAATTCTGGGTGGGTGGCCCATCATTTTTTCCCCATCATTTACTGATATATATATATCCTATATTAAGTAGGATTTTCTCTCTCTCTCTCTCTATAGAGAGAGAGAGAGAGAGTGAAAATCCTACTTAAAATACATAGTAACTATTAGATATCTTGGGTCAAGTTGCTGCTTTTCAGCAAAGTGTTAGCAATTTCTATTAAAGTTACTCCCAGATCTTGACCTGTTGTTCCAACTGTAAATAGGAAAGTGCTGCAGATGTGCTGTTGTTTTTAAAGACTGGACAAAAACTATTAAGCTAGGATTTGTATAAAATGAGACGCACATTCTAAGTGGAAGAAAAATCAACAATTATGTAATCAGATTGTTCTGCAATTTTATAATAATGGTTTGCAGACTTTCATTTGTCTTGTGTACAGAGTCTGAAAAGTTCTTTAAAACGTACTGAATAATCAGTGTTGCTCATCCTGATTTTTTTTAAATTGTATATTTCTAATCATATTTTTTTAAATCAGATTGAATGACAGAATGGGAGTTTTATTTTGCTGAAGGTATTTTTAAGATAAAGCTTCATGATGTCTTGTAAACTTAGTTTGATATGCATTTGTCATTTGGAAATCTTGCATATTGTAACTTGTTTTATACAAAATATTGAATAGTAATAATTGTAAATTATGAATTGTGTACAAATAAAACTATTAACCTGATGTTTCTTATTCACAACAACCTTGACAATCAGATTAGTCAGAGTCTGCATTAGTGTGTGTGGCTTCCAACAGTAGATCAACAAATGGTAACATTTTTGTGACTATTCACTGAAATGCATAATATACTAATCATGCCTCCCTGACCAACATAATCAAAGTGCAAAATTGTAAGGGATAACTTTTCATTTACTAAAATGATAAAAACTCTTAATTCTCATGAATTATTCTTGCCTTGTTAAATATGTTTACTCTGTGAAGATGCTTACCTATAGCAAGATTAGAGGAGTGAGATTCAGGAAGCCAGGGTTTTTATTTTTTGACTCAGCTACTGACTTTGCTTTGAGCAAATCACTTAACCTTCTTGTGCATCTTTCCCCACCTGTAAAGTGAGGATAGTACCTACCTTTGTATAGTGCTGCAAGATAAAAATATCAAGTGCAAAGTATATAATATCAAATTTTATTGAAATTATGATAATACACAAAATGTTGCAAAAAAGGGTCCATTGCAAACTCAAACTGAAAACTTCAAAATTTCACAAAAAAAATTGTTTTTTATTGTCCAACTCTAAAATTCTGTATAAACTCAAGTGGTCAAGCTGGGCTAGCCTAAAGTCAACCTTTGCCACTGGTGGTTGCCTCTGTCAAACAACAAAAACACACTAGACTCAGCTAATCTGCAAATTTTTAAAGCTCTGACACACAGCCTCATCCTTCTTCCCAAAAGCATAAATAAACCTTCCTCCCATCCTCCTGATATGTTTCCCATGCATATAACATCATCCTGTTGGTCTTGTACAGCAAAATGCTAATCTTCACTTCTCATCCTTTTCTGCTTTGAAATTGGTTAAAGATAATTATGCTCTTATAAATATAAAAGTTTTTCATGACCTGAATAAGCTGCATGCTAGAGAATGAATGAGTCTCACATCAATAGATATCACTGTGTGTAATTGTTCTAAGCCTGCGTGTCAATCGGTGACGGCTTATCATTGCAAAGACCAACAGTCAAACACGTTTAAAAAAAAAAAAATTATATATAGTCCAGATCTGCAGGGAGGAAATGAAAATGACGGGCATCACAAGGGAGAATGTGCTGTCCTATCAAAACCATTTACTCTCAGGGTATGTCTATACTTACATGGTAGTTCGACGGCTGGCAATCGAACTTCCGGGTTCGATTTATCTAGTCTGGACGCGATAAATCGATCCCGGAAGTGCTCACCGTCGACTGCGGTACTCCAGGTCGGCGAGAGGAGTACCGCGGAGTCGACGGGGGAGCCTGCCTGCCGCGTGTGGACCGCGTCTGAACCGCGGTAAGTTCGAACTAAGGTATGTCGACTTCAGCTACGTTATTCACGTAGCTGAAGTTGCGTACCTTAGATCGAATTGGGGTGTTAGTGTAGACCAGGCCTCAGTTAAGAGTTGGGCACTATGCTGTGTTGTTTTGAAAAAGCAGGGGGGTTATCTCAGGCCCAATGGGATAAAATGTTAATGAAACCTGTGTTTACTGTTACAACACTAAATAGTTAAGCGGGTTTGGGGTTTTGTCAAGTTGCTGGCTTACTTCCACTGTAACCATGACCACTGATC